ACAAATTCGAGAGTTATTATTTTTATTTTTCTTACAAATGTTATATTTATATATTTATGTATCAGCTGCTCTAATAGAGATGTACAGATATTAGAAAGAGGTATATAAATGTTTAAATATATGCATATGTATTTCGAGTATTAAGTACCGCAAGCTGGGAAAATTAATTTTTACACGTCAGATTTTTCTTGAACAATTTCCGAATAAAAATAAGAAGAAATATTTCATTATCCGCTCGCGACAAGACCGGTTCGGATTGCAAGGAACGAATTTTTTCGCGACTCGTTAAAGACATATGTGTGGAATGATAAGTAAGAGTCGCCATGCCGTGACTCCCGCGGGGTGAATATTTTAACGGTCTGTGTGCGTCCTTGGTTCAGCAGAAAAATCTTTTTTTTCGCAAAATTTCTAACTTGATTTACATACCGAGCGAGATCGCCCTTTGCGAATTTTTCTACCGGGACTTCTCTCTCGCAAGATTGGATGAAACACACGAAATAGCATTCACCGTAATGTTACTGCCGCGCGATAGTATCGCCCCCGTTCTAAACGGCCGCGTCGTCGAACGCAGATCTCGCGAGAAAGTTGAAATTTCCTGCCAATCAAGTAAAATCTTCTTTCACCCGTCCGTCGTCGGCCCTCGGATTCGCGCACACGGGCGTCTCGAAAAGGCAACGCGAGGCTTTGATTTACTCTCCGTTCCCCCCCGCATTCAAGACGACATTACGGCAACGGCGTTTTCTCCTTAAATGGCCGCCCAACGTCTGAGCGACATTAGACTCTCGGTCAAAGCCAAAGTCACGGTGAGGGTCGTTGTCGTCATCCTTGATGTTTTCCGAGGAGATACCGCACCGCGGAGAAAGGTCAGGAGGGAGAAAGAGCTATACGAAATGCAGAAGCAACGAGCAAACTCCTTAGACGTTCTCCTCGTGTATTCTCCCCGTGGCCGTTTGCACGCTCGCACTTTGTAGATCGTTAAAGCAACAAGAGCAAAATCTACGATGTGTGCATCTTCGTTCTCCTTCTTCTACTCTCCCTCCCTCTCGCTTCTCGCCCGTTCGGCGCCGGATGACTCGACAGATACGATCGCAGATGAATCGATTAGAAAGATTGCGAGAGCGTGTGCTCACGTTGTTGTCATGCTCATTGTTTGATCAAGGCCGCGTTACAATACGACGCACCACGGCTGAAGATGGCCTATTAAATTATACTTCGTTTGACTTTTTCTCAGAACGAGAGTTTCGCAAAGTCTCACGCGAGAAATATTATATTGCTTGGCGCATAATTCAAACGTTGCGTGGAACGCAAATCAGATATGATCGTTTCGACTTTGCACACGCACGTATTTCGTGCCGAAATTTTCAACGCCCATAAAAAATGCATTTTGCAAAGAAATTATGAAAAGAGACAGTCGTTTTTTGCCTGTATAAATATTATATCTCGAGACTTCCCATTAATTTTTCAATTTCGACGGAATTTACAGAGTTAATATGGAACACGAATATTTCAATGGGTTGTATATCAAGCGAATTCAACTCGGCAAGATCGCGAGAGACGCTCGGCAAAATATCAGCATAAATAATAATATTTAATTTGTGATATAAATCCGAAATATTCAACGCGGAAGGAAAAAGTTACATATAACGCGCCGACTCGCAAATAATGTTATTATCCATATTACCAGATATACATATAATTCATGCGGGTGCGTATCGCGAGATTTCACGTTGTATCTCGCGCGAAAATTCGATATCTTGAATTATTTAAATACTGGACGGGATCGATATACAATCGGCGGATCCGGAGAGGGGAGGGAGAGGGAGTAAATAAAAATTAAAAAAGAACGCGCAACCGGACACGCGAAACACTTTTGCATTTATCGCATAGCTATCCGGACGGAACTCGCTCGTCGTACCACGGAATTCGGCGTGCTTCAAAATTGCATCGCGGTGCATTCCACGTTTCGTCCGATATTTTCCTGTCGGTCGAAGGCCGTCGAAGCGACGTATGGCGCACGTACAACGCATCATTGGCGAACGGTTTCTCGCAGGTTTTCCATGAGACAATAAGCGCTCGCGCGCGGTAACGCGGTTTCGCAATAAAAAGAATCCGGTTACCGTTAGCCGTGTCGCGGAATGGCACGCTGGAATTCCTATGTTTAACGCGACGCGACTTCGCGTCGTAATGCTCGCCACGACGTCCGCGTCACCGTAATGGGATACGCAATGCGTGCGTCTGCTCGGATTGCTCGCCGAGGAGGTGGAAACATCCGTTTCGCGTGATCATCATCGCGACGCGATACCGCAAAGAAAGCTTGCTCATACCTCGTCGGTTTAATTGATTCCAATGTTGGAACGCTTGTTCCATTCCGCACAACGAGAATGTCGAACGAATCGGAGGAATGTTAACGACGATCTGGCACGATCTCAACTCAAGTATGTTGTACAAGCAACTTTTTATACGCGAAAAATTATTCTCCGATGAGTGGATCCGTTGAGTGATCGGGGAGACTAAAGTTAAAGTATGACTGAATCGTCGCGGGATCTTTCCGTGGAAGGACACGTACGCTGCATGAAGCAACGTGTTTCTTTCGAGAAGAAGAGAAAAGCATCGAGAAGTATTTATGAGGAGAAAGGAAGGGGGAGGGGGGTAGATTGTGGGCCAATTCGTCGTCGCGTTCCACTTTCTCTTTTCTTTGGTTTTCGTGGACGGAAGGTACACGACCTCATGATTGGTTCCAGTCGCGGCTATTATCGCAACGGAAGCTGTAAAAGCTTCCGTTTTTGTCCGATGACCGTAGCGATGATCGGAGCGGACTGGTGATTCCGAAAATAAATTTATACTTTGCCTCCCTACAGCGACCTCGGCTAGGTTTTTGCGAGTGTATCGCCGATGAATACAGATGTCTCCCGAGGAATTTCTTATTTTTTACTTTCCGGCCACCCTAATAAGCCTGCTAACAAGCTCGCTGAGAAGCGGTATAAATGTTAACGAATCGCTTTGAGTTGGGAAGTCTCGTAAATACGTCGAGTGCAATCGACAGCAAGTATTTTGAAAACACCCCCCGTCCTTCAAAGGTATTCTAATAGCTGAGTGGCGGGTTAAAACGACGATCTCCAGGTCTAACGATCGCACGGTTAGCCGTGTCAATTTGTAAGAACAAACGGTTAAACGTGGATCACGGTAGAAAAAACACAGCGAGCACCGAGCGGAGAATCTGCGTAATCGATTCCTCATGCAAATGAGAACCGCTGCGCACCATTACGCGGAGAAGCTGGACTCGCACGGCTGTACGCACTAATCGATTCTCGCGATCGGAACGAGCCGAGAGAAGCGAAGCTTTGCAAGGGATTACTACGATTATCCGAATAATTACCCCCGGAGTTTCGGGGACGGGCCGGCAAATAAAGCCGGCTCCGATCGTTCGCCGCCCGCCGAATTCGTATTCCATCTGTGCGTTTAGTTACATCAGCTGACAATGCGCGGATAATTGACATCGCGTTCCCTCGCAAGTCGGACGCTCCTCGACGACTCGGAAGCTTCGTCAAATATTCAATCTTCGATGTACGCGCGATAAATTTCATTTGTTTCCTCAAGCGCGCCCGTGTAATGTATAATGTACAGCATGCGGAAAAAAAGTTTGGTTAAATTTACCATGCAGTGAACAATAAACTCAACCAAACTTTCTTTTTTCATGCAGACTCCATTAATACTGTACTATTCCTTAGATATAATAACATTGAGAATTTCCAATTAGGCGCGTTAGTTTTATATGAATATTTATGCACCGAGATTACTGCTTTGGAGAATCGTTGCTGATTCATTCAATTATCGACAGTCATGATGCACAAATAATACTTCTGACTGGAAATTTTTAATGTTACTACACCTAAGAAATGGCATAGCATTAATAGATTTTTGTTGAACTATTGATCATCAACATCGGTTTCCAAGTGATGCAACTTTATGTGGCTACACAGCTATGTGAATAAGATACGATTGTTATATGAAGTATATTTAATCATGATCGGCCTGTTTCTCACGATAAAAATTAATCACTTAGTTCCTTTCACCGTACGCGTTACTCGGGTATACTCGGTTATCGTGACGAATCAAAGGATTGGCAAACTTAGCGGGATAGCAAACAGAGGGAAACTAAGCAACAACGAAATTAGGAAATTGCAATAGATCGTTGTTTAAATACAGGCTCTTTAAATTCCAATTTCGCGAGGTCATCGAAATCATTGCTTTTTTTTCATTGCCTTTTAATATAACTGGCGTTCAGTGCGAAAGTCCGGTTGGTTTTCAATTTCGCTTAATCCGAGTCCCGTCGCTTCGATTCATAGCGACGGGCGTTAATAAAAGAAGCATATTGGACGATTGTAACGCTCCGATAAACAGCGAATTGTTCGTTCTTTCGTTTACGCGGCTATTAAATGCAGTTTATTGTGCGGAGAATTCCCGATGCTGTGGACGTCCCGGCCGCTCGCGTTATCTTCCGGAAAATCGCGAATTGCTTGGCAGTCGGACGGAATCAAAACGTGACAAAATAAAGACAAAGCTTTGGCACAACAACCGAATAATTTTGGTCAGTTTCGGATTTTCGTGCGAGATATATGACTAGCGAAAATGATCCGCGTTTGTTCTTGAAAACACGATAAAAAAAATGGCATAAAATATATTCGAAGAATATACACAGAAGAGGCAGAAAAAAAATTCGTATTAAGAGTCGAATTAGAATTCTAAGTACCGCTCTTGCAGCACGCTTTTGTCTGAAAATGCGACGTGCGCGTAATAAACTACAGAATAAAAGTGCACTTTGACTTGACGTCGAGGAAAAATGACGAGCGCGAGTTTCGCTTGTGCATGTCGCGCTTCCTCGTGCCCGGCGAGTAACGAGACTTAAAGTTACCGTAATTACGCTGGCTTTCAGAGCTCTCGGAGGAGTGAAAGAAACGACGATGAAAAAATTAACAAGGCAATAATAGGCGGAGACTCACCGAGCGCCTTGCAGCTTCCGTCATGAAGGGAATCCCCGGCAAGTTGAATGATGGCCATGAGAATATCCCCCAGCATCAGACAGGCGACATGATGAGTCTGGCAACGCCAGTGCAGAACGTGATGAGAGGTTGGTAGCAGCCAACCGGCTGCGAGGGTGGCTGCCAGGAAGACGGCGCTAATGATGAAACCCACGGGATACAAGGTGAACCTGATGTCCGCTGCTTGCATCACCGGCCTGAAAATTTCGAATGGTTTGCGCGACATTACTTTCGATGCATTTTGCGGATCGACGTCTGCTTTCTAATCCTAAGTATGCTCAGTTACCTTTGTAAAAAAAAAATATATCTACACAGAGAAAAATATTTTATTCTAAACACAAAATTATTGAGATGACAAATGCAATAATGTCAGATTAATATACGGGTGTATTAAGAATTTAACACAAAAATTTGAGGAACAATGACCGATTTTAACTATTAACTATTAACTTCAACTATTAACTAGTTCAAAATGTTTTTTATCGTGTAGACACGCATTAGCAGATGTGATTCTCTTGCCTTGCGATAAAAAATAGTTTCTTTTAATTTGAATTTCAGATATTTATATTCGCAGGACCGATTGTTATCACGATGATACGTTACATAGTGGATTAATACACATATCAAATAACGGAGTATCGTTTAATTTGTGTTACTATAGTATTATGCTGTATCATGCGTTCGTATATTAATGGAAGACCCCCAAATGAACCCGTAATTTAGACGTGCGCAACAATTAGCGTCAGACAGCAAACCCAAACAACGTATAATAATTTATTCATCAATTTCGGGCGATAACGATAACAATTAACGCGAAAGTAACAATGGTCGTCTGGACGCGCGTTTATTTTCGCGTTTAGTTATCCGTCGCGTAAATTTGTACAGAGTGCGCTTTCCCGTAGTTTGTCGTAAGTGGTTTTTTCTTTAAACAATGGCGACTACCGTATATTTTAACATGTAAATCCTGGTACCGTGTCGACGCTCACCGTCGTCCACGGGCCACCGGCGTTAAAAGAAGCCGCGGTGGAAAAAGGTGAAATCAGCAGCGCTATTGGTTACTTCGCCGCGCCGCTGCGATTAATTAAATTCAGGCAGTTTTATCGACGTCACATTGGCGATTGACCGATTGGCTCACTGCCAGTAGTGGGCGTCAGCCAACTGTTCGATCGATTTTTTATGACGGAAGTAATATCGCGCTATCGACGATCGTTACACGTCCGTTTTTAATTAAGCTCCCCCCCTCCTCCCCTTCCCGCAGCCTCCGGAAGATTCGGGCTGAAATAATTTCTCGCCGCGAATATGGATCTCTCCATGTTATCGCTCATTCGGCATGGACCGATTTACGTTCGGGATCACAATTTACCGCGGTTTCGATTCGCACCGATCTGCTGGTGCAATGACACGGTGCTGCGATAACGTGTCGCCCATACGCGCTACAGCGTGTCGGGTGAAAGTCCCGGAGAAAGCGTTTCCGAGATTTCCGTGATTTTGGCTCGCTCGTCGTTCGTAGAAATCCTCTTGGCTCATACGAAGAATCATGCGTGTCGAACGCGGCTTATTGGAACACACAAAGTGATCTTAAAATAATCTTGCGCGAACATCGGACTTCGACGCGTTTGGAATCAATTATTCACTCTTAATTTGAACATGAGAATACAAATTTCACGTACAAAGGTATGTGGGAATCACATTTCTCGCAGGGTTTGACGTACAGTCGATCACCGTGAGATGGTCCCGAACTAATTAAATATACAGGAAAAATAGTCTTCAAACAATGATAGATATTCTCGTATACATGTAAACAAGAATATTGTAATATTCCTAGATTTCTAGTCTTGAATTGAGCGTAAATAAATATTTACGCCGCCGAAGAGCAAAATCTATTATGTAGAGGAGGAATTCTATTCCAATTAAAACCCCTGCGGATATATTAGAAAAATGTCTCCTGCTCACGATTTTCTCTAAATTATCTTGTTCAGTTACGAGCAAACGTGCTACTACGCGACGTAATCTGTATCGAATAGAAGCCCTCGGATCTTATTAACAACGATGTCCCGTGTCGGCCCGTCAATCTGTCACGGCTGGTCCTTACCCGGTAGGATGCACACGTCTCAGCAAATGAGATCTTCTAACCCTATCTTCCATTACGCGACGTACACGGACATCGTAAACGCGCGCGATACGCCTGACGTTTAGCATGTTGGATTATGTCATGTAACTGTGGAAGTGTTCGCGTATTACTGAGTTTTTTTGTTGAGGTCGCATACGGAGGAGGCATACGTTCGGAGTCGTACTCGAAATTCGCGTCACACCGTTTCCGCGCGCCCTAGTGCGTTCCAGCGTCGACTTATGAGAACGTTTTCGAGGAACGGCTGACATGGAATCGGACATACGTGACCTAGAAATGCGTGGAGAGGAGTGAAAGTGAGGGAGGGCCAGACTTTTTCTGTACGCGTCGCCGAACGACGTAGAAACGAGCGGCGTTTATCCCTCGCGGCGCGCGGCTACCGTCGAACGTGCAATTAAGCCGTGCGATAAATTCTGATCGCGGCAGGCGATACTTAACGGGGCAAAAAGTCGGATCGTGCTCGGAGCTTTAAAGTGGGTCGACTTGACCGCCAGAACCGGCCAACGCTCAATTTTGTTCTTCATTAGACAGGACGAATGAGCGATGATCGAGTGAGCAGAAACAACAAAAGAACGTATTTGCATAATTGACGGGTCAATATTAGCGTTGTCAATAGCCGGTTATTGCACGGGTATCCGATTAGTTTCAAAGTAATCGAGAAAAATCTCGGAGATGTCGGAACTTCATTCCGGAGATAATGCGAAACAAGATTACAAGGATAACGTATTATTATTATGTAAAGTTACCGTGAACATTCACGCTGTGTTCAAATAGTTTATATACTCAATGTAATGAATACCAAGTTACCACCGATAATGCTGAGTAGTGAACGAGTGATTGTGTACGTGTTATCTGTTATTTCGAAGAAATATCGAAATCGATTTTATCTTAAATAACACGTATAACTCTACCGCATTCCACGATATTATCTCAATACATGTAGCTTCATTCTTTTGGTTCACGAATCACGGCGTTGCACGTTCAAGTCGGAGTGTGTAAAGAGAGGAAAAAATATATATATATATATTTTCTGTAATATTGTTTTTCTATGATATGAATATTAATTATTCTATATATTAATAAACATAATATTTTTGTAACACTTTATTTTTACATATTTAATATTGATATTATATTATATATAATATTTAATTTTTTACGCAAGTCCGTAGATGTATTTTATGTATTTTATATATAGAAAAAAGTGAATATTTTTTTCGTTATATACTCTGGATACAGAATTTGAGACTGAAATAAATATATTAAATCATTTACTAACCTTTGTGGTGCGTGTTCTGGGCAAGCAAACACTTTAGCCACTTGATTGAGTTCTTTTATTCTTTCGACGCAAAACTGCCCGCTAGGTAAAGAAACTCCGTTTATCTCCAGGCCGCCGTCAGGTTGCAATACGGCATTCTTTGTGTTTCCCAAGATGGTAAAATTATCAGATTTGGGACAGGTTGGGAATCCCGTTATGATTTCAATGGCAAAACTTGCGTTTGGCAGTAAAGGAGGTGCGTCCGCTGTCTCTTTCACGTGTACACAGGTATTCCTGCAACAATACATATTTTGTCGCGCATTATTGCAGAGTTAACCAAGTCGAACGGTGAACTATTGAAACAAGGATGTGACCGGATAATCGGACGATAACCTTTTTTCCGTTCTTTACAAATGTTTGGCAACCATCCGATTATTTGTATGAAGATGATTATATATTGTTGTATTTAGTTCCCAGGTAGAATAATTTTCTAAAAAACCTCTTAAAGACATTTGAAAGATACGTACAAAAAATAGAACGTCTTTTGGACATCTTCCCAAGGTATTTTTTAGAAATTTGTTTTGCCCGATTATTACTTTATTCGGCACACATATCGAATTATGATTAAAGCAATCTCGATAGAATTATCAAATTGAACGCACAATTCCATTTAACTTTCGAGTATATTTAATTCGAAAACGTCTCGAGAAAAAATTGAAATGCTCGAATGAGGTTAAGTGTATAAATAAATAAGAAATATATATTTTTGCAATGTTCTGGAAAAATAAACATTATTTTTTAGTTTTTGAGGCAAGAAGTCCGATGGTGCTAATTAAAATTAGGTCACACGACGGAAACACATTAAAAAATTGAGGAAAAATGCGTGGCGTCGCAATCACTTGCAAGACAGATCGCTACGTTATACTGACGTAGCGTATATACTACGTATATACTGACGGTACAAAATATAACACATTATAAAAAAATTGACATTAAAAATATACAATATCTTATGAAAATGTTAAAGTTAATCATCTAACGGTAAAGTGAGACCAAATTACTCCTACGGCTTCGTTTATTTTACAGCGCTGTTTCTCTTTTTAAGGAATGTTTCATGTTATTATTTACTTCTTTTATTTATTTTCTACATTAATTACATGAAAAATGAACGAAATAGAGCATCGAATCGAACCTCTGGATTTGTTGAAAACCCATCTTGTCCTTAGAGAGTTAATAGCGAAAATATCAGACGCAACGCGGGAAGCGTGCCTCTGCCTGCACGAACATGTTNTTCGAACCAGCTTCCCCCCCCCCCCCGATCACGCTGGCGCTTGAAAACTTTTCGTTACGTCTGACATTTTTTTCGCTAACCTCGCTATTAATAATATTTTTGTAAGATATTTCGTATTTTTCATATATTCCCATTATGTGACGTAATTCTAACTAGCACCATCGGATTCTTCGCCGCAAAAACTGTAAAAAAATGTTTTTTATTTTTCCCGTACGCAGAAAATATAGGCCTTTTCGTAACATTCTTTATTAGTAAGTCCATATGCGTATGTTGTGTGTCACGCGATATTCTAAAACCAGAAACTTACACGTTTCGTGAACACTAAGATCGGACGTTTCTCACGGGAGGCATCCAATAATAAATAAACAAACCAGATACATGATAACGAAGTCAAGCGGCTTACAAGTCCTTGACTTTGTCCCGGAAGTAAACAGTCGGCTATAATGTTACGTTGTTGAATTTATCCCTTGATATGTCCGAGTAACGAATTAATTAATAGTACCCGTCGGTTTCTAACAATATTTTTAAGTATAGCATATAGCATCTTCGATAGTCACGAATGTTACGATATTTTTAATGAGTTGTAATGAGGACTTTTCATTTAGCAACACAAGTCGACACAAGCATCATCTAATCTTTGTCACTCATTGAATATGGAAAAACAAAATGATGCTTGTGTCGCCTTGTCATTAAACGCCACGAATATTTTTCAATAATCGCGAATAATACTTCCAACGAAATAGTTCCAAGCGCAGAAGAAACGTAACGCGGAAGGAGATTCGCGAAATCAGCACGTACGTTTCGCGGACATTATAGGTTAAGTCGGATCTGTACGAAAAGAATCAACCTCGTCCTTTTAACCTCGCCATTTTAATCGCGGTACAGAGAACGAGAGAATCCACTTACAACCGAAAGGGAATTTCAAGCAATATCGAGTGGCAAGAGCGACTCCGAGAACATTTCCAGGTAGAACAGAAAATAAGGATGACGTAAAGTGACGTCAAAATCATGAAAAAACGATGACGAAAAAACGTATTTTATATGCCGATATTCATAGTCGCATCTTATATTTAAGATCATCTCAAGTTTATCTTCAGATGCTTAAGACGGTCTTAAATGTAAGATCTGACTAGGAATATCGGCCACGTAGTCATGTTGACATCATTGTTATTTTCTGTTTTTTTTGTGTTTGAAGCTACGTTCTTCCGAGACTTACCCATGGAAAGTGGCATTCTCGCCGCAGCACCGTCGTACACGCGGCCTCATCGTCGCGGCAGCATGACTACTGGACTTCTTCCGTACACAAACAAGCAAGTAGGCTAAGTCGGAGCAGTATTGGCTTGGGGAAAAACTCTCCAGGCTCTCTATATCGAGCATCGCGTTCCCGTTATCGACCAAAATGAACGGATTCGCTCTTCTGTAGGGCACGTGGATCAGTTTCCGGCTGTCGTCGCATTTCGGTCGCGTGGCTTCGATGACGTGCCATTCGGACGGTATGCCAGAGTAGCGGAGCGTCTGCTTCGACGGCGAGTAAATGAGCGGCATCCACTTGCCCGGCAACGGTTTGCAGTGCGGCAATTCGTTCGGATCGTTCGACAGCACCAGGCTTTCGCCGTGATGGCAACACTTGAAAATCGTCGGCGCCGATGTCGCTGGGTCGTTCGGCTCCGAAATTACAACCGTTGCGACGAACGCGACGTAAACGAACGCTTTCATGATCGCAGGACGCAACGCCGAGCACTCAGATCTCGGCGTTTCGATCGGAGAGTACCAGTACCGTCACTTCGCGCACTTCTTCCCGAAAGACGCACTCGACAGTTCGCGTTATTCCCGTTACACGCAGGCAGCTTGAGTGTTTCACACGATGTTTCGCGAGACGTCGTCCGTGAATAACGGTACGGCCTTCACAATGTCATCCTCCTCTTCGCGACGACGAGAGGATCTCTAAGGTAGAAAGAGAGCAAGATAGTGTCGATAGCAAGAGCGAATTTTGCTTGGCGACAGCCTGAGAAGGACGCGCGTTTCGGACGTTCGTCAGACACGACTCTCCCGTTGGAAGGTTGCGCAGTTACTGACGCGACGTGACCACGCGTTCGCCGACAGCGTGGCTCGAGAGTGCGCGCGCAACTGCGCGCCACACTCCCACCCTTATTCGACCTTATTCCAACCACCGAAGCTGCCGTGCGCGTTCTTCTTTCCTCGACGGCGCGGCGCGACCTTCGCCGAGCGCCGTTCCGCGTCGCGCAAATGAGAGGGTGAATTCACGACCACGTGCCAGCCTCCCACCACCGTCCCACCACTACGCCGCTGCCGCACGCCGGAAGTGCAACGGTAACGTGCGTGATGTTATCCCGTTCGCGGCCGCGACGACGGTTTGTATAATCAAACACCGCGAGTCGGAGATTCGATATGCGATTCGCGCCGCGATTCTCGACTGCTAATCCCGACGTTTGGGACATAAAGTTACGCGAATTGCACGTAAAGTCGTGCTAGCCGACGATGCTCTCGCGATCGTAAGTGACCTACATGGATTTCATTGTTTTTAGGAGAGAAACGTTCTCCTCGCGGTTTATCCGACAGTTTATTTTGCACTCTAGGAACTAGTGATGAGTGATCTCGATTTGATTTTCGGGAAATCGACTTCTTTTCTTCTGAAATCGATTTTTTATCGATTCTTTCCTGCTCGGTTTTCGCACAGAAAATCGATTTTCAATCTGTTGATATGCCTTACATGGAAAAAGTGCTATTGAAACTACAAAATTTTTAATAGCACGCGTAATTTAAGTATTCTTGATAGCGATATTATTGAAACTAAGATTTTAATTATTGAAACAATATACATAATATGGTAGTTTTAATGATATTTGCCATTGAATCAAGAAGATTTACTTTAATTACGTTACCGTTGAAAATTTTATTGGTTCAACAATAATTTTTTCCTATATATTATTCGTTAATATTGTTTAGATCAATGAAAAATTTATATTGGAGATTCAATATATGATACAATTATTAATGATTATTTTATATTGTAAATCTAGTTATATAAAATATATAAGTAAATCTAGTTATATAAAATATATAAAAAGCTTATGTGAGAAACTTGACTACGAAACACATTATTGCAAACATGCGTAACATAGGATGCAACATTGGTGAAACGCATACTTTCTATTTTTGCCAATTCGGAGTTGGCAGCAGATAGGAATAAAAAGAAAATTGATTATGCTTGGACTTCTGAATCGTTGTGATGATAAATCTCTATACTATCTTTATTTTTAAATTATATATCAAATTTTCATCTGTATTTTTCTTAAAACATACTTCACATGGGTTGAATCATTCTTGCATAAATACGACTAATTAATTTTAGAGATTTAGTATAGATATATTATACTTATAAAATAAGAAGAAACACATGTTTAAATTCTCATTGTATGTAATTTTTTTGGATCGATTTCTAGAAAATTGATTCTTTCGATTTTTTAATAAATCGATCCTAGTTATTCCGATTCAAAAATCGATTTTTTCTAAAAGATAAATCATTACTTGGAACTGCCTTATAGAAGAGGCGTTTTTCTCAAGTATTCGTTTTAGATTTTACCTATTGAACAGTTCTTGATTGCTTAACGTGTGTTATTATAATTTTATTATGATCGGATAGGACTTACAATTGCATAACCGGTTCGAAGGCATTACTGAAATCTGTGTATCGAAATGTCAAACGGTTACTTTTTCTGCGAGAGATCCCGCGTTAATTTTCAACTCTGTCTCGGCCTGAAAATATCTCGGCAGTTGCCGGGCTTTGAAAATATTTACGCAAAAAGACACCCGGAAGTCCAGCTTGACGATCGAATTAAATTTGCAACGATGTGTGCAAAGAAAAATATTAAATTACGCGAGCGAATGTAAACATATAAAATCAATAAATTCGTGGTGTGTCATTCACGAAATTACAACGTCCGTTATATTTCGAAATTTTACGCTGCAGTCGCAATTAATTTTTTTTCTCATCGCGACGTCCGCCCCCGCCGGAGGCAACGATCGAGTTATCGAGTACGCGCCGTTGATTGTTTAATGAGGGGAAATATTTCTTTTCACATGTACGCGAAAAAACAGAAAAAAGTCTTTACGATCTGCGCGGACGTCGTTTCTCGGGCGGAGCGCGGAGAGAAAATAATTGCCGGAAAATACACATACAACGATCCGTGTCGGCGGCGGCGGCGGCGAATAGATGCTATATGAAATATGCACTGCGGCATGACTAAGCGCAGATCTCGCGAGATATTTCTGAGAAGCATCCGGGCGGAATCTGTGAGAAAATATACAGCTATGTCCTTGCCTAGGCTAGCCGATATCGACGCGTGCTCGCTGCGAACGTCGTTCCGCTCGTAACGGGCGATCCGGTATATCCAGGAGCTCCCGACCGGCCTGCATATTCACACAGGACAACTTCCTCGACTGGCTCACCTGGCTTGGCGACCTGCTTCGGCCGAACAAGCGGATAACTTCTCAGTCGAACCAAGGTCGCTGATGATAATCACCCGGTGATCCAGGTAACAGTAACTAAGACGCAACTGCGTAAAACACGCATAGTATTAATGAGCCCGCTCTCACTGCAACGTTCGCCCGTGCGATGGNGGGGGGGGGGGGGACAAGGCGAGTGCGTGTGCGTGCGCGATGCGTAGTACCGCTCGTTCGATGTAATTTATACGCGTGTTGGAATATGAACGCGGTTATATCGCTGCCGCGCGAGACTGCGTGCACACGTTGCTGATCGATGGAGATCCAAATAAACCGTACGATTTCCTGCTCCCTCGTTCCGTCCGAGCTGATTGCGCAGATGACTTTGGATTTCGGCAGATCGCGCGAAAAGTGCGAGCGTTCGTGGAAATATTTAAATAAATAAATAATCACACGGTGCAGAGTGTGATACTAAACAAGTGAGCGACTGCTTCGCGAGATCTCTTCTGCTGCGAGAAAATCCGAGCCCAGGCGCGAGCATTACGAGAGTTCCACGAAGATATAAATCAAGGCGACGTCTCGATTTTTAGGAAAGCTCCCGGACTTGTGCTATTTTTCAAAGCTAATGACTCGAATAATATTCAGTATTCCGCGCGCGGCATGTAGACGTCCGCGTGTGAAAAATTTCAGCGCGCCGTGCTATGGAACGTTTTCGAAACAATATATTTCCGCTCCTTACGCCGTAATTTTTCGTCCAACTTCTCTGGCGATAGCCAGCAAAGCGCTCGTCCAAGTCGACCGGAAATGCTTTAAAAGTTCCGCGCGAACAGCGTCGGCGGGACGCCGGCAATTAAACTTTTTCGCCATCTCGCGACAGCGAAAATTGGAAATTTGTGTCCTCCTCTCCCTCTCTACGGCCAGCCGCGCTAGCGTCTGCGAAATTTTATCAATTAAAATATCGTTAGTGTCCGTGCCGTCTAACCGAGACGCTCGTTAAAAAGCGCGTTCGCGTGGGATAACTGCCTAGGTGAGCTCTTTTTTGTTCTAGCTTGGAACTTCCAGCGAGACTTAAGAATAGACCGAACGAGGCGAACCCGCTTCGGACTTTTTCGCCGCGATCAGTGGTAAACTTAAAGCCACCTCGCCTTCCGAGCGGAACAACGTTCGGGGAATCTCGCTATTCGCAGTTGCATAACGATGATATTTTCAGCCGTAGAAGTACTTTCTATGCGTTGGAAGGGAAAACAGGTATTCCGATATTCTATATCTACTATGAAAAGATTTCGAAATAGTCTATGGACCGAAACGTCTATGGGCTTTGAATTTTGGATTAAGTTGTATCATCGATGGAGTTGCCCATCGATCGATAATAACAATGTTCCTCAGCTCCGCCGGAGTTATCACGCGATGACTACAAAATAATCTGCGACGGACGTATTTACGTCCGTCTTATTGTATGAACGATATCATAAAGACGTCTTTTAGATACCAGATATACATAACATGTGTAAATGTTAAAATAACACAGGCAAGTATTAAAATAATATATTTTACACCTCAATGTCAATGAACGATATTAATTTTGTGTTAATTTTGGACATATTTCTGTTACTTTCCAACACTATTCACCTTGTGTTAGATTAACATAAACATTTTTGTGGGCTGTCAGGACATGTGAAGTGTAATTAAATTTAACATATTTTTACTGAGTAGCTTTCGACTCGTACCGGGCCTACTCGGGTCGACAGCATCGTAGCGAAGGAGTATCATCAAGCCGAGCCGTTTTCCGAAATTTCATAGCAACGCACGAGCGCTCTCGCAGGTTAATAGGGTGACACGGAGCTCGCGGGGCGTTTGGACAGTGGGTGGCGGGCGCGTAAATCACGCTGATCGTCGTTGTGTTGGCGCACGTATGTGCGTGTGTTTATGCGTGCCGAGTTACACACCATCGCGCTCGCTCGTTCGGGTGCGTGAGCGTGCGTTCGTTAATAGGTTTGCACGTGCGTGTCCCTAAACGTAATGCCGATTTTATCTACCCCCTTGTCTACTACGCAGGCAGGCCGTCGGTCGGTCGCGGAGGGTAGAGCGAATCAGCCAGACAGTTTGATCCAGGTCGCTCGGTTGCGATCCCGGAAGTCGATCCCTGCGAAATCGCTCGCGCGCCGATTGATCGCCAATCGGTTAAAGCAATCGCGTAAAACGCCGCGCGTATCTGTAAAACAAAGCGGCGCGGCTATCGATGACATCGCGCT